TGGGAGTAAATATTTCTTGCTATTGTAGATGACTATAGTAGATAGTACAGTGTATTGTATGAAAAATAAAAACAAATCATTCTACAACTTTAAGAATTATCCTAGGCAATGGAAAGACTGACGAATAGAAAATTAATAGTATCGCACGATAACAGGTAGATTTCTGTAACAGGCATTCGAAGGTATTAGCGAAATGGAATTAGTTTTGAACGCACACGCGTACACCCCAGAAGAGAACTGGTGTGTGTGAACGTTTTAACGAACGGCATTAGATGCAGTTAAGCTATGCTTAATGATGGTAAAATGGGAAAAGACTGGTGGGCAGAAGCTGGCTGTTTCGCCGTACGTGGAACAGAGTATGTCATAAAAGCCCCCGAACCCCATATGCCTGTTCCCCTAAGAAACCCGATTTTTTATTTTATAATATGTTGGTTGTAAAGCCGATTTGCATGACGAAATAGAAATAAAACGAGGTCAAGAGGAATAGGTGGTGCAAAGGAAACTAGGTGTTATAGATATGGTGGCAGAAGACGCAGATTAATAGAAACGTAATGTGAAGGTCGATGAAACTGAACGCAGCAATGGCATCCTGGAACAGAAATCAAAACCTAAATTTAAAGACTAGCCCCTCTGAGCTATTAGCATCAGTGAGAACGGAAAATTTTAGAGAAGATAATACTTGCGATGACGATCTCTCCGAAAGAAGTATAGACTTAATTGGCAAAGAAAGCACTAAAAGGCCAGTGGAACACCTACAGACATATATTATATGTTAGAGACAACAGACACCCGTTTAGATCTTATAATGATATGAAAAGTATTGTGAGGCAGAATATTAAATTGAAAAAGATAAGTTTGATTTAGTGGAAAAAAACGATACTCGGGGAAAGTTAATTTTGTAGAACAGGAGGACTAGCTCCGTGTCTGAAGAGGCAAATTCCGTAGAAATTGTTATCCCCCAAAATTTTAAAGAACGCACGAAAAATCACTAAATGCCAAAGAATGGGATAGGCATGAAAGAAGAAATTGACACAATGAAGAAAGAAGGTTTGGGAATTAGTCGAAAAAGCCAGAAAATAAACTATGCTAGGAAACAAATGGGTCTATACGCTAAAAGAAATGAAAAGAATCAAGTGGTTAGATACAAGCAGTTTAGCACAGGGATTCAGGCAAAAGAGGTGAAGATTTTGATGTTTACAGTCCTGTAGTAAATTTTTTAAATATAAGAATATTTTCACTATCCTGGTATGTTTATATGGATGGACTAATTGTCAGTAGATGTAAAGAACGCATATTTATGCAACCTAAATGAGAAAATATATATGACCCACCAGAGGGATTTATCGAAGAGGAAAATAAAGTGTGTTTATTACACAAGGCCATTTACGGTCATCAAAGCGGCCGTGATGGTTTTATGAATTTGAAGTACTTTAGAAAATCTACATTTTAAGAAAATACAATGATGTAATTGGTTTAAGGGTTTCAAATGTAATTCTCTTGTTATGTAGATGATTGTGATTTTAGTAAGATCAATATAGTATAGATAAAAGTAATTTCACGCTGAGTAAGTTTTTTTTATCTTAAAGTATTAGGCAAAACTAAACGTTACTTGGAATTGAATTCTTAGAGAATGAGAATGGGGTTTTTTTAATCAGCAAAAATATCGCGAAGAATTTTGAAAATTAACATTCCAGATACCCCCAAAACTTCACTTCCTATAGCTAAAGGCACTATTCTTACAAATTAGATTGTCCATTGTGATACTTCTTTGCTGAAGCAACTCCAATGATGGAACCAGCAATAACTTTTAACAGTAAAAAAATGGCGACACAAACAAGAGAAAAACATATTCTAACATTTAAAACTAATTACTTCTTCGTGCGAGAGTCGCTGTGGCACTCGGTCTGGTTTCAAATATTGCCATTCACAAATACCTTAATGTTCTCGATTTAAATTATTTAAACTACAAGATTTTAATACTATTTAAGCGTTACACCACTACAAGTGCAGAAATTGCGGAAATGCATACCTTACCCTTAAAAAACTGTTAGAATGTTTAGTTTTTGTAGCTAACAGGACAAGGCTGATATTACATATGCAGTGAATATTTATCACAATTTTCAGGAGAATCCTGGAATTAGGCATTTGGGAAGCATTGTTGAAATTGCTTAGTTATCTCAATAGTACTAAATTATATAAGTTAAACTTATCGAGGATTTAAACATCTAAATTTATATTGTTATTCAGATGCTGATTATGCAAGTAATAGAGATGACCACGTGTCCATGGAAGGATTTATATTATATTTGGATGAAGTACCGGTAATCTGGAAAACTGTTAAACAAATAATGTGTAAGTTTATCAACCATTGGAAGTGGAGTATATCGCCTTATCGGAGGCAGCGAAGGAATTAATGTGGACAGAAAATGTCTTACAAGATGAAATTTTAAAGTTTAAGTTTAAGAGAATGTAAACTATTTTCCGATAACAAATCTGCCTATTGATTTTTATAGATCGCCATTAGAAAATCGCTGAACTAAGCACATAGACATAAAATATTTTGTTAGAAGACTAGTAAATGATGGAGTGTTTGACCTTGAATTTATCACCAGTAAATTAAATACTGCGGACTTATTTACAAAAGCAGCGTCTGCTGTTAATTTAAGGAAGTTTTGTTTAGATGTTTTCAGTGTTTAAAGACAATAAATGTTTTCGTATAATAGAATTGAACTATGAACTTCTGTAATTCTGTGCAAGTTTTGTTTTTGTCTTTGTATGAGGAAAAGAGGGCCATTTGTTGGCTTTAGTTTTGCACATGCAAATTTTGATCGGAGGTCGATCGGCGGTAAGCTAACGTGGTTGCCGCTGATTGGCCGATGACATCAAGATCGGCGGGTTGGCCGAGTATTATATATATGTACGCCGGTATCGGCAAATGTTCTTGTTCTCTTGTGTGATTATCAGTTAGCATAATGCTAGTTTGCTTTCAATCAAATGATTTTAAATGTGAAGGCTACAGTGTTAGCTCTTTTATTTTATTTACGGAATAAAGCATGAATTTTATTTAGATTAGTCTTAGCTTTATTTAAGGGAAGCAAAATATGCTTTGCCTTTATCACCACTGCCAACATAAAAGGATAAATTTATTGAGAAAAATATTGTACAATTTAGAAGAGGCTTTTGTACCTTATTGGACTTCCTATAGCCTAAATTCAAGAGAAGTGGTAATGCCTAAAAGTATACAAGTTATGTATGATATTCTTAAGCGTAATTGTCCATATATGTTACTTCTGGGCCTCTAGACCCTGTACATGTATAAACTATCAAGACTGGTCTTATAAATGCTGGATCAGGGATATATCTGGCAACTTGGCAAGCCTGTAATGTGTGTGGACCTGATGAAAGCATTTCGATGAAATTTTGATGTGTATGGATAAGCACTGTCTTGCTGGTAAGTGCTTATTGAAAGCTCTGGTCTGAGAGGCAATAAATACATGTAGTCTCAAGAAGTCTTACCACAGATTTGTTAATGCTGCCTAACATATTTGTTGCTATGGTAGGTAAATGAAACTTCATATGAAGCTACTCTAATTAAAAGAAAGAACATTATGGATGTTGACATAGATATATTTTTCCAAATTGCATTTCCTAGTACGATATATAGATTCTGTGTTTGAATTTTTTCCTCTTTTTGTGTATGTCATTATCTGAATCATTTGTGTTCATTCAGAATCATTTGTGTGAGGGACATAGTCTTCTTCACCCAAGGAATTGAATTTGCTTATAATTACTTATAGTAAATTGTTTTCTAAATATTTTCCCGAGTTCTTTATCTGCTAATGGTCTTTTGTACTTACATCTTACTCCTTTAAGAGAGGATGTAAATTACCATTTGCATTGCTCATGCTATGGGAAAATATTGCATAAACATTTACATGAAAAATTAAAAACAGGAAAATCAGATTTACTACATTTACTACCATATTTGCACATAAAAAAGACACAATTTCAACTAAGATGAAAATAAATTGTTAACATATTCCTCACTATGTACTGATGTGCGACTGGCCGTTAGATGATATCGCCATATTATGGGCCAATCTATAATCTGTTTTAAATATGTTAAATTACTACTAAGGGTCTCCACATTCAAACATAACTATTGTCAACTCCCAAAGTGAACCTGAATTCATCACCAAGAATTATATGCTTTCAATTCATAGCAGTTCCAGTTTTGTGTTCATAACGTCATTGTAAATGATGCTGACAGTGGCTGCCTCCTGGTGGCTGAATGGGTGTGGTGACGCCAAATATCCTGCTGCAAATGCTGGAAAATTGTTCAATCCAAGACAGGATTCTGTAATAAAGATACTACTTACTGTTGGATGATGGACAGTGAAATTCTAAGAGTCGTTTATTTTTACCAAAAAAAATTATCTGTACTTATAGTCTGTTTGAGCCATATGAAGCCTCTTTGCTGTGATACATGTCATATTTGTGTAATACCTTTTCATCATGACCACAGAATTGCCAGGCTAGATGGCTTTCTTAGAAATACCCAATCCTATTTCTTCCAGGCCGGTAATGTTTCCCCCCTCTCAAAATGTGTTAACTGGGTAAAATGTCGTTGACTGTATTATAGATGTATGCCAAACAGTTAGAAATCTCAAGAAATGAAAAATCAGTACATTAGATAAAATTAGTTTCTGAAATTTTTTTATAGGCAAATGAAAGTAAGTTTTATATTACCTCTGGTGATAGGGCTCCATTGTGCAGTTATAGCAAAATTGCTATCACATAATTATCTGTTTAAGATATAATTGCATGCTAAGTTTTGCAAGAATACGACATTTCTTTGTTGTGGGGAATGCGTTAATGAAGATAAATTGATGTGCATGAGAATTGATGCTGTCCAAGACCTATTATTTCTTTCTAATTGAATTAAGGTCAAATGTTTATTCATTCCAATTGCATACTTAAATAAATTCAGGAGTACCATATTAATGACATATCTTCTTAACTTACTTTTATTGATTTTTGTCTTTGTAGCCAGAATTGGTTATTGAGAAACTGAGATCAACTGCAAAACTAGAAATGGAAACTGCTACTAAATTGTCTACAATCAATTTAAGCAAGCTGAATGCAACAAATGCTGAAATTGTTCAACAGTTAAAAGGTATATATGAAATCCTGCATAACAGTGTCATTATTGAATTTTGATTATTGATAATTTAAAGAGTGTATGAAAGTATGAGTATGATTTCAGACAATATATTGCTGTTCTTTTAAAATGTTGATTTTATCATGTGATATATGATAGACAAGCATGTATATACAGTATATACATATATGTGTTAATATGCCATTTCGTAGCACGTTGCAAAAATTAAATAATCCACTCAAAATCAGATCAGAAAGCAGATTTTGTACTGAGTATAAAAAATATTCATATGCATATTACCAAAGGTTATTGCAGGCATACATGTAAGGCTAAATATGTAGTAGTAATATAGATATATGAATGTTATGTTGATACATTGCAAGATATGCACATGGAAAAAACACATGTTAAATGAAAATGTAAGGTTTGTTTTTATTTTAGACATAACAAAAAGCTGTCTTTTCTACTCATGAAGATAGATGATAAAGAGATATTAAACTGTGGAAACAAGTTCAGATAGACAGTACTTGTACTAGAGAAGCAGGTGATAATATTGACCGTGATGATTTTGCAGTGTTATAAGGAAATAGTTTGATTAATTTGTTAGATGAACATACTAGTAGCTTCCATTAGCAAGCACTTGGAATCCATAAAGCTATGGTTCAATATGTTTTTACATAGTAGACAGCATCTCCTTATTTTAGTCAACTTCCTCTACTGCTATCATCTTCTAGTGCCACAATAACATTTACATTTCACACCACACCTATAGCAGGGTTTCCACTAGAGATTAAACAGAATTTCACTACCTTTCCTTTTCAGTACTAGTGGCCGGACACTGGTAGTTCGTCCAGAGTTTGATTCTAGGAGAGCGAGCTGCCTACTTCGACATTTTCATGGTTTTCCCCATGTGTAATGAGGTTTCGAGCCAGTTTCGCTTAAAATATTCTCCACAAAGGCATCTCTCCCCATAGGCAGTTAGTCCTTGAGTTGCTTTGCATTAATCACTAAACCTTACGTAATCTTTTCGGTACTGTGTAGATGTAAAAGGAATGCAAATTTTCCAGCATTCTCCCTCACAAATCTGAAAAGAGAATAACATGAAAAAAAAAAAATATATTCATTAGTGAAAATTCATAGCTTAGGTTGATTCATATATTTTTTCTATGTTTGTCCCTACTGGGTTTTTTAATAAAATATCACCTTGTATTTCTGCCATTCAGATACATATTTAGATTTAATTTCATCTTCATTTTATAATTTAATGAAAATTAGTGTGTTTTATTTTAAAATGACAAGCTGGATTCTTTACTAAATGCTATGCAATTTGGTTAATATTTTATTACATGGCTAGTTCCACTACCTTTTCCAAGAAACTAAGTTCTGTTAATAGCAAGTGCTTCTTTGAAGCTTTGGTTAATAATCTGTGTTCTGCTTCACTGCCTGATAGTGCTACAATTCTGTGCTTGTGCAATTTGTAAGAAATCAGACACACTGCTAAGATGAAGCTATAGCCACTAAGAAATTTTCTGTCCAGTCTGTGTTTACATAACATTTAAGATTTTCATTTGTTTTTAAAAAGTTATTGTTACGTATAATGTGGATACAAGGTATTGTAGCACTGGTTTTGTTTAAACTCAGGGAAAATATTTTGGATTACTGTAAAATTGACTAAAAGTCTACTTACAGAATTTTCAGTGTCATGTTATGTTAGATGTAACTAAATAAATCAAAGATCCTATTAAAGATAAAGATTGATATTTGTTTTTGCTCTCACTTTCATTTTCTTCGGGGACATCTGAAGATTTGCAAAGTTTGCAGTTAGAGTGAAATAGCAATGCTCTAAAATAGCATTTTTTAAACTGTGGATCTCGAGCCCCCTGGGGATCGCAGGACATGCAGCAGGGTGTCGCCAAAAATTTAGTAGTTTTGATATTTTTTTTTTAATTATTATAATAATTTTACAATTATCAAATATTTTTACACAATGTACCTGAAAATAGTTAAAGATAAGACAATACAGGCAAAGGGAAAAAAGAAAATGTTTCAACGCGTTCTTTTTATAATAGAAATATTCATTTTATTTGCTTTGCACATGACGCTGTCATTTCGTCTGTTACTTATTTAAAATTTTCATATTGTTATCTGTCTTAAAATTAGAAAGTAAAGTTAATGACCTAAAACTGCAATAGTATATTACAGTATAAGTGAAAAAATTGACAGTTTCACATACACGCGTGTGTTGGATTTGCAAAATGTATATGGGGTCCCACAAAATTTTCGTAAATATTATGGGATCCTGGGGGTCACGAAAACATCTCGGTGATAAAAAGGGGTCACGAGTGAAAAAAAGTTTAAGAAACCCTGCTATTAACTTACATTCTTGCATACCATATTTGGCCAAATGTTCTTTTATGTATTGAGCTTGGTTAATTGATACATTTTATTTTTTTTCCAATATTGATAGTTAAACACAATTTAATTTACCCAAGTCCCTTATTTCAGAATTTTTGCTAAAAGACTTTTAATGTGTATCACTGAAGATTTTCATTTAGTTAGAATAATCAAATCATCAATATATGTAGTAATTATGATGCATCATCTTTTCTGTACATGAATACAATTTCTAATTAAAAGTTTTTTTTTTTTTTTTTCATTTTTCTAATTAAAAGTTTCTGTCAAATTTCATCAGGTTTTAGGTTTTACATCTGTCCTGTTTTGACTCCTTAAATTGGCTTTTTTTTTTTTTTTTTTTTTTTTTTTTTTTATCATACTGCCTCTGTTGTCAAAAGTTATGAAATCGTGTAGTTGGAGCATTACAATTTCATCACTTTCTCCAGTCAAGTAAGTTGTTTGAAGATTCGTGTGGTTTATCTTTAAATCATACTCAGCAGCCAAAACAAGGAGTATGCGTATAGAATTATAATGAAGTACAGGTGAAAAAGTTTCCATTCAGTAAACTGTGTACTTCAGCAAGCATCCTTTGGCAGCAAGTCTGGCTTGTATTGATTAACAATGCCTTCCACTTTTTACTTTACTCAGAACACCCATTTGTAACCTAAAACATTTTGATTTCTGTAAGGTTGGTTAATTCTGAGGTAATGTTTTTCGTTAAGGAATTATATTCATTTATCATAGCTGTTCAATCTGAACTAATGTAAAGAATCGTCCATTTTTCTGCATGAGGTTACGACAAAGCTTCTTCAAAACTTTCTGGAGCTAAGAAACCTTAAAAGTTGATGAGAGCTGTAGATACTATTTTTCCTTATGCTTCCTGGGGTAACATATTTTATGTTAACAAATCAGTTGTTATGGTTTTGATCTTTACTCTAATTTGTTCTTCCCATATACCTAACCAGAAATCAAATTAGCTTTGAGTGTATTTAAGTTGTGGTTTTTAAATCTTAAAAGGAGAGAGCTTCTGGAACTCTTGCCTGCTGTTAATTTTTTGCCAGCTATATTTAAGTGGTATTTTGGCTTTGGCATTCTCCTAAGCCAGTGCTTTAAACTTACTCACTAGTAAAATAACTGAGCCAGCTTATTCTATTGGATGTGTAGTGTTAGACTACGTTATCAGTGTTTGAATCTATTTATCTGCTACTGTTTAATTTAAACAGCCACAAGTGGTGATTTGTCTGTAGCACAAGTTGTGCCCTTATGTTCAGTTCAGACTAAAAATTTTTTTTTTTAAAAAAAAAAAAAAAAAAAAAAAAAGGTTATTTTAAATCCTCTTAAATACTTTTTGATTATTTAAGAAATAGTGATAACTTGCTGTGTTGTCTATTAGAATCTGCAGGACTTAACCTCAGTTCCAGTTATTATAAGCAACCCTATAACCCTATAAGCTATAAAGTAGTAAAATATTTAATAGTTCACCCAGTATTTCAGAATCTAATTCCTATAGTTCTATCTACTGTTTCAAGGAAATTGGTTAAATAATTCTGCATTATTTTGTTCACTTTCATATTTTTAGGAATCAACAGATTCATAAGACTTAATTTTATTCAGTTTATTAAGTCTTGCTTTTCAGCTTTTTAAACTGATGACTTTCATGTAATTTCATCCATGCTTCATGCAAAGTTCCACGCTTTTTTATGTGTACTACCTTAGACGATATATATACTAAAAGCAATAATTGTTAAAGCTTTCTGATTTTTTTAACCCATTTTTTATGTTCAACTTTCAAGTTCAGCTTTGAAAGTTTTTGGCTTTATAATTTGCTCATTCCTGACTTCCCAAAGTTCTGACCAGATTAAAATCATTTCTACTTGGAAATAGCTATAGCCACCTATTGCTAATTCAAATGCGAATTTTATCTAAATTGTTAATTTGTCCAGTGGAGTTTATCATTTTGATTTTCTAATGTCAAGAAAGGCAAGGGAAAGAAAATTGTTTCACTTGCCTTGCTTTTCATCAATAACATGGTTGTTTCGTTTAATTCCAAGATAGAAATCTCTTTGAGTTCTGGATCCATAACCTTGCTTATGTTGATACATAACAGCACATGCTTATACAGAACACAGGATTAGTGAATAACATAAAGGGTGTTCCAACAAAAATGCCAGATTTAATATGCCTGCAAAAATACTTTATTTTTAGAAAATGTGAATATTTTTACATACTTACAATGGACAAATGTTCCAATTTAAGAATGTTGATTTTGATTTTACCTGGCAAGACTAGCATTTTATCACTATGTGTTCATTTTGCAGCTTCATTGCAGCTTAGTCAACTTGAAGCACAATGCAAAGGAACAGTGAGATTTGATGGGGAAAACTCATTTATAGTGAATAGTAAGTGTTATGCACAGTCTGTTAGAAAGTTTTGTGCAGTTTGTTGGTGTGAAAATGCACCTAATGAACAGCAAATTGCAGATTAATAAAGAAATTTGAGAACACAAGTTCGTTACTATAGGCATTAAATCACAATGCTCTCGATCCAGCAGGTTTGTTGAAAACATTGCTATTATGTATGACAGTGTTATTTATTGCAAGTCCCAAAGAATCCAAACTTAAAGAGGAAACGGAATGTGTCATTAAGTCACGTCGATAGGCAGATATGTGAGAAAGTGATTTCGAAGTAAGAAAATTAAAAGATTTTGATAATGAAACATTGAGTTTGATGATTCCTGATTTAAACATTTTCTCAACATGACAAATTTTTCCACTTTTACTAAAAAACTATTGTTTTAAAGATGTGAACTATTTTAAGAAGAATGAAGATGATGTTCTAAGGATGAAATGTGTGTTAAGTGTGTTTGAAAAGACGTATCCAGATGATATTCTAGAAAACATGCTCAGGCAGTATAAGAAAGTGCATTTAAAAGACTTAACCAGACAATGTTTAAAAAGACATATGTATGAATATAAATTCAGATGGACTCATCCAGACATTGTTGAAGAAGAGATTTCACAACGGTGACGACTGAGGAAAAACTCAGTGAAATTTAAAATTCTCTTTTTCTTCCTTTTTAAAGATTCCCAAGATCATGATCTTTTTCCCAGCACACTAGGAAGCATGCCATCAGAATAGATGAGCATGTGTGGGATGTCATCTTTCACAACTGACAGATGGTGTTGCTTGCTGTCTGATAGAATTTATCTTTGTGGAAAAATGCACCGCCATGACAAAAGATACATAAGGTGTTAAAAAGGTGAATGTTGTTACCAAAATGAAGTCTTTTTTTTTAAAATTTAATTTAATTTATTTATTTTTCCTTATTTTGACAGTTTTCCTGTAAGTATTCATCTCCCTGTCATCCATTTTCATAGTTTGTAAAAAATTGTCTATATCCCCATTAAATCTTCAAGTTAAAATGTTAAATGGACTAGGGCATCCATTTTCCCTTAGACATTAAATTCTTCAGCATTAATGAAGTGAAGCTTTCAGATGTCAAGGCAAGATAAGTGATTATCTCCCCATATTAATATGAATTGGAATTCTATTAAAGAACTTTTCTTAACTCATAGAGAAGCAGATTTCATAGCAAGTACACATAAATATGCATGTGTATGTGTGTATATTAAGAGTGTATAAGTTTCCCCCCCCCCATTTCTTTCTGATTTGTGTGAAGATATTTTTGCATAAGCAACTGACCTATCTATTTGCAGTATTGTAATTATTTATTGTTATCTTTTAGACCGAATACATGGACAGCAGTTTAAACGTGAGTTTGATGAAAGCACTCGTTGTTTGGAAGAGCTAATAAAATCAATGAATGCTGAAATTAAGGAGAAAACAGCCTTAATATTATTACTGGAGCAGAGTGAAATTTATTACGATACCCAAAGGGGTGAAGCTAAAATTGTTGCAAATGTAAGTTTTTGTTTTATTTTTATTTTATATAGCATATTTACTTTTATAGTCTCCCCCACACTTTTTTTTTTTTTTTTTTCTTCTAATTTTATTGTCTGATAATCGAGAAGAAAAATGATGCAAATAACTTACTTCCTGAAGGATGCAATTACAAGACCATAACAAATTGAAATGTTCATGGATAAAGTACTAAAAATACTATACTAAGTACTATAATATGGCAGCTTTCACAATATTATTTAATAAAAGACACATTCTAATAAGAATACACAGTAAGATTAACTTTACAATATCTGAAAGATATCTTCATTTATAATTCCATGTATTTTGAATCTTGGTCACTAAACCTCAAATCATTCAAGTTACATCGTTCCAACCTTTTTACATTGTGCATGAGCAGAAAAAAAAGTCACATTGTTCCTACTTTCAAATAATTTTAGCAAAGTATCTAAACCACATTTGATGTTTTATCACTTTCAACAAATATGCCAAATTACAAAAAGTGCCAATATATAAATTCACGTATATCTTCAGAATCTTGCTGTTTTCTGACAGGCACACAGTCGACAGGATAATGGGTAAGAATTGATTTTTTCTCCTTAAGTTTAAATGTGGGAGCAATTAATTTTTTTAATTATTAATGTTAATTTACATGTATGTTGTTTTTAGGCATATAAGAATTTTGGTGCTAGAGTGAAAACTTTGCAAAAAAAATTGGAAGAACTCACAGCAACATTTCCTAGTCCAATACCTTCTCCTTGTCCAGATGCTCCATCTCCAACCACATCAGATCAAGAACTGGAACTGAATCTCCCTAATGATAAAGATAAATCAAGTTTGTATTAAAGCTTATCATTTAACTCTACTGATTTACTGTCAGGGATTCATTGCTCTGTACTGAAATACTATTAATTAAACCTTGCTTAATGAACACCTCACATAATGAGTGTTTCGCATAACAATTATGCCCTTAACAAGCCGTGTTTTGCAGAATGAATGATGTGGAGATACTGTGACTTCACATGCAGGATCTGGCCTGCATCCTGGCTATTAGTCTGTATTTAATGCTTTAGTTATTTTTTTATTTATATATTATTTATATATTTAGTTATTTTATTGTATTTAATGCTTTAGTTTAACATTAAGTTAGCACCTTAATGTTGCTTTTGAAAGTTGTATTCAGACGCATTACTTTTTTTTTTTTTCTGCGAAGTTTAAGCTTGCTTAATATTTGTCTCCAAAGAAAATGTCACAAGAAGAGAGAAACGGGATTTGAACCTCAGACCGAACTACCAGTGTTTAGCGACTTGCTGCTGGTGGGCCAAGAATTTTTATGGAATAGTTATGTATTCTTGATGTTACTGAAAGATTACTTCTGGTATGGATCGGTGAGAAACAGATACAAGTATTTATTAATAAGAAATGTCAGGGTAATTTAGTGCTTACGAAGATGTTTACAAGCTCCCTCATTGTGCAAAAGAATTTGATAAAATTTTTATTGAGGTTAATGTTTTTGTTTTAGAATAAGATTTATTTTTTAAGATAGGAATTCTGATTTTGAAAAATTGGGAATATCTTCTCCTAGAAAATGTTATTTTGTTCTTTTCAAGTGGAGGCTTCTAGGATTGTCAGTTTGAGACTAGCATTATTATTATGCTGAACTTGAAGGATTTAATGAGATTTGGTTTTTAGAAATTTTGGGCAGCTATCAGTTCTAAAAAATAATGCATTGCATAAGAAAGCTTCATACTGAGATACTTTTAACCATTTATGACTTCTTTTATACTCTGGATAATAATTTTAAAATAAAATGTCCCAGTCAGGGTTTCTATTAAATCATTCATTACATGTGATTTTTTTAATTATCTTCTCATCTCAAGAGATGAATCTTTAACAAAATTAAAGCTTGTAGCTATGGTAGATATTTCTAACATTAAAGAAATAAGAATTAAAAGTTTTAGCACAGAATTTGCATTTTTAAACCATTCACTGTAGACAGAATTTGCATTCTTAAACCATTCACCATTCATTCTGAGAGTTCTCAGAAGTTGCTGGCGGTTTTCGATGACATTCATAGATAAATTTCAAGGTCTGTCTTTATGCCTGTAAAATTTTTCCATGCCTTACACATTTTAGCCTTAGTTTTTCTCCATTGCATTGCTGTGTCGTGGAAGCTTTACTTCTTCTCCCAATTCAAATTTTTTGGTTGTGTGTGGGACGTAAAGAAAGCAGCAAACTTAGACATAAAGGCAGTCGGAAGCTTCATCAACATATTCAATAAGCGTGGGAATTCTGAAGGTTATTTGCTGCAGTATGTTTTTAATTGTGATGACATGGATCTCTTCTGGAAAAATAGGCTGAAGCAAACTTATATTACAGCAGAGGAGAAGGCATTACTGGGCTACAAGCCAATGAGAGACAGACTATTGTTTTGGGTGACCAGAAAAATGCCCACAGGAAAAATGCTCAAAGATATAAAAGCTCACTGGAAAAAAAGCCCACAAGAAAATATACCCACATAGAAAAATTATGGAAAAATGCTCACTTAGAAATATGCTCACATGAAATATGTTCACATAGACAAATGTTGATATTAACCTTTTGAGGGGCGGTAAATAAAAGCATGAAAACTCCAATGAAATTTTGCATGTACTGTAATATTTTGTACGACTGCCCTGTATGATATATTTTCCTGTAACTGACAATAATTAATTTTTGTTTTTTACTCAATTTTTTCATAATTTTAATGTGTATCAAGAAATTGATGTTTGAATGTAGTTATTTAAAAGGAGCCAAAAAAGTTGTAAAATTTCTGCAGAAATTTAAAATTTTAGCATTAAAATTAACATTTTAGGCACTTTGATGATGCCTCTCAGTTAAACATTATGAAGCAGCCTTCCGAAAATCTAAAACCACAAATTGTTGCGAAGCTTTCATAACACACTAAATTCTTTATTTAATTGTAGCCATCCCAGTATGTGGGTTTTATTTGATGTACTGAAAAAAGATTTAGCCTGTCAACGCTTGTTATTAGCAAATGTAAATACAGGGTGTACTGCAGGGGGGGGAACTTACATTTAGTAATCATGAATCATGTAAGAAACTATGATGAAATCGATGATAAATTAAATATTTTATGTAATTTAAGTAAAATAATCATTTCTATTTGCTTATTCTTCTAAATGTTTTTTTTTACAAAATGTAACTTATATTTATTATTATTATTTTTTAACAATTAAAATTGTAATTAATTTTTCACTGTTTATTCTGTTTCATTTTTACTTCCTTCCTCCTCTTCTTTTCTTAATTCAAAACGGCCCATTTGTTAATCTTATATAGCAACTGAATTTACACATAAGTTATACAGTTTCTGAAATATATACCATGAATATTTTGGTAATTTAAATAATTTTTCTTTAGAAAATTCAAGCAATTGAACGATGTTCAGATCTGTTAATTATTGATTCATTAATGTAAGGATATTTCTATGTGAATTATTTTTCAGTGGGTTTATTTCCATGTGAACGTATTTCTAAGTGGGCATTTTTCCATGTGAGCTTTTATCTATGTGGGCATATTTTTGTGTGGGATTTTTTCATGTGAGCATTATTCCTGTGGGCTTTTTTTCCTAGAACCATTGTTTTGTGCAAATGCAACTAGCAGTTTAAAAATTAAACCATTGCTCATTTATCATTCAGACAATCCACGAACATTCAAGAATTATATGAAGTCCAGAAGAGGAGGCTGGGGCTCTTCTTGAGATGAATTTGCATTCAGTGCCTTGCTTGTTATAAACAGTCTTCTATACAGCCTCCAGGCCTAGAAAATGACATCCTTGAAGATGTTGGCAGAAGTGGCATTATTCCTAAAATCTGGCAAAACTCTGGCAGAAGCTTCATCGTATAGGCCAGTTTGTCTACTGCCAGCGCTCGGTAAGGTATTGGAAAGAGTAATTCTTTCAGACTGGACTTCTTCCTGCAAAGGAACAATGCCCTGCATCCCAACCAATATGGATTTTGAATAGGCAACTCAATTAAGCATGCAATAAAAGATTTAATGGCCACTATCCAACAGAACAAGGATAACAATTTGCACTCACTGGCAATAGCCATTGACATCAAGGGAGCCTTTGATTCCCTTTGGTGGCCAAACGTAATAAATTTGCTGCACAACATGGCCTGCCCAACAGCCATTATTACCATTCTTTGCTCGTTCCTTCTAGATCAAAGTGTACAAGTAACATCAGACAGTGGCATTTATGTCGAAAATGTTTTTAGAGGGTGCCCACAGGAGACATGCCTTGGACCAACCCTGTGGAATATAGTGGCAAACTTGGCATTTCGTCAGTTTGAGAGTGTAGAATATGCTCGAATCATAGCCTATGTGGATGATTTTATGCTAGTTGTGGCAGGAAGAAGTAACCTCGAATTGAGATCTCAGTACTATCTTGATCTGTTCTCACAATGGGCCAGAGCACATAACTTTCAGATTTCAGCAGAGAAAACTAAAGCTTTACTCATAGGACGCAGCAGGCAGCTTAGATGCAATCCAAGCATTAAACTCCATGGAATACCGGTAAAATGTTCCCCCAATTGAAATATCTTGGGCTATTACTCGACAACAGACTTTCTTGGGTGCCACATGTTGGGAATTTAAAGACTTGAATTAGCATCCTAAGCAACAACGTGAGATGCATGACTTCACATAAATGGGATATCTCGTCTAAGCTACTAAACATTTGGCATAGAACCATTACAGAAAGACTAATAATTTATGGGGCAGCAATCTGGGATGGTGAACTTACCTCTCATATGAGAAGATCCCTGCTCTCTATTCAGAGACAGCAGCTACTTCAAGTATGCAGGGCCTACCGTACCACGTCAACAATAGCCCTACAACAACTGGGAGGAATTCCTCCCCTAGATTTGATAGTAGAAAGGAAGGCAGCTATCGTAAGGGTTACCAGGCTGGGTCAAGCTTCAACACTCTGGGGTCATAGTTATCACCACTTGGACTACGAGGAGCAAAACAACTGCAATAACTTTCATCCAGCAGCTTTTAATCTCTCCGACGATATCAGCATTAACGACCAACAAATTCAGAGGAACAGTAATAACATTTTCACAGATGGCTCCAAAACTGAGAACAGCACGGGCAGCGCCTTCTGTGGACTGGAAAATGGAGTTGTAACATTTGAGTGGAAAAGGAAACTAGGCTTGAGCAACTCGGTATACCAAGCAGAGCTTCTAGCTATCAGTGCTGCAATTAGATATCTGAACACATGGCAACAGGAGAAATTCTCCATACTCAGCGATTCGGCATCAAGTCTGGCAGCTATTGCAAGTCAAAACAGCCAAAGTCCTTTCGTATACCGAATTCAGAAACAGCTTCTGACAATGCATATTTTGCAAAGACCCACTTTAAAATGGTTTCCCACTCACACAGGGATTCAAGACAATGAAGCCACTGACCTACTGGCCAAGCAGGCAGCCAACTGCATGAATATATTAGAAAGACCAACTAAACTTCTTTGGTCTCATATTAAACGAACAACTTCGACAAGTCTGCTACAAAATTGACAAAATAGATGGGCAGAGGAAGGACGAAGGACATTTTGCTTACTACCAAAAGTTAACATGGAAATAAAGACCCACTGTGCTAGCCTAACACAGTTCTTGACAGGTCATGGACCATTCTCAGTATACCTGAACAGATTTAGACTTAGGGATACTCCTTTCTGCGAATGCAGAGAGGAAGGCGACATGGACCATTATTACTTTCATTGTGTACATACAAGAAGCTGGCATTTGAATGTGGATGTCTAACGCACTCAAAAACAGAGTAGCCCTTGATAAAATAGAGAAAATCTCAAGACACTGCCTAAGCAGAAACAACCGTGAATAATATTATGTTTCAAATGTTCAGAACTTAAAGTAGATAATCAGAATAACCCTTAGTGCCTGCAGTTATCAATATGTAAAAACTGTTATTAGTATGTAATATTCAACCTTGTTACTTTGGAGTCTTTCCCGCCGTGATGGTATATAATTCTGTTTGGTTCATGTCCGTGGTCGGAAGCCATCATAGGGGTGCATTCACTCACTCACCTCCTTGAAGATTTGAGATTTGTCAAGATCCAGTTCCTGCTTCTCAACACCAACTTCTTTACTGTAGCTCATGGACTAGCAGGTCATTTCAAATTTTAAAAAGCTCTACACAAAAGCATAGTTTCTTCAAGGGTGGTTTTGAGATAACTGAAGGAGCCACTCTCACTTCATTGTCGCATTCTTTAAGATGACAAGGCATGGAAGGGGGTCATATAGAGAACCCTTATTTCTGCATGAAAAAAGCTTTGTTGGAGTAGCGTTGTCAAATGCAACTTTCGTGAGCTTTGAGTAGATGCTTGAATCCTGTTACCAACAAGTTTATGCCTCTGGCTGAGATTATAGGGGCTATAGACGTATAACAATGACATCAACAAGAACATAGCCTAGCTGATTACTAAAGAGTTTATGGAGCTGCATTCTGTGTACACATAAGAAATTGTGGAGGAGATTTCATCAGGCAGGAAGACGAAGTTGTGAGCAAAGCAACTACCTTGTGCTACAAATTTATTAAACAATAATGCTGTGTCTCATTTTAGCAAAATTTTGAAGTGTAGGCAAAATAAATGTCTTTAGACAACATTCTCGTAAAAAGAGATGTATTATAAATAATAAATTACATTATTATAAATTTGTATGAGTATTCCTCCCCCCTGGAATGGAATGCATTATCCTATTTTACATTGATTCCTGTGAGGGAAAAAATTGTTTCTATTTTAAGCTTTTTACATGTATATTAATTTCATGCATTCTTAGAGAGAGCATTACCAATTTCTTTTAAATTCAGAGTTAAGTTTGTGAACTTCTTTTGCGGACTTAAGGTGGAGTTAGGTTTTTTTAAAAAATAGGCCATTTGTTGTATTATTTAATAAAATTATTTGTATTTATTTTCTATGATATATGTTATATCATATTGTTGATTTGTTGTACTGTCTATGCATTTTGATGTTCTCGTGTATTTAAATGATTAACTTATAATTGTGATATCAAAATTAATTTAATTAAATTCCGATGCTTCACTTATTGCCTTATTTCAAATATTTCTGGCATTTTCTCAGGGCTTGTCAGAAATGAGATGAAGGTTATTCAAACAGCCCTCTTGTGCTTTGTCTAAATTAAATAAACCAATCAAATGTAAACATTCTTTAGTTAAACTAAAAGCCGTGAATATAACAATTAATGAATTATTTTATTCACTGAATGTATATTACTTGTAAATAAATGTATGCTCATAAAAGCAAAACCAAAGCTATGTTGCAATAGCTTTTAGAAGAGGTTTTGAAGTATAGAATCCATAAATTCTGAGACCACAAAAGGACTGCAACGTAATCAGAACAACTTAATCAGCACCATGCTCAGGCAATCTTTATTCCTCAGCAGTGCATTTGGTCATTGGATCTAGTGCAGAATGAGCCCATTCATGAGATCATGGGCAAGAATCAAAGACTGAAAATTCAGATAGAAGGCCAATGCTTTTTTATCCCTCAGCCATCAGTAAATCAGTTTATATTAATGCGTCGTATAAGAATTGTTCATGTTTAGTTTAAAAAGCACTGGTTTGCGGAAATTTGTGATTTAAAGCTCCATTGATAATTCATACCTGTTTTATGAATGCATTCTAAATCTGTACCTAACAAATTATCCTGTCATGGTTTGTTGTTATGATTTTTTTTCAAATCAAATATATTTTTTATAAGTGCATTATTTTATATGTTGATCACTGTTGCATTTTGATGTGAGTTTATTGAAGATTATTTTGCTGTTGACTGGAATATACACATGTGCTTAACACAAGCTGTTTATATATACCTAAATGCTTATAAAGCTACATCCAAGGAAATGTTGACAAGAACATTTTTAAAAAAAAAAGTGTAATCAAGTGCTAATTGTCAATTAATATCATACAGAAGCTTGTGCGAAAAAATAGCTAAAAAAGAACTCGACATGTGAAGTATTGATTCCAAAATTGTGAAGACTGCTTGCTTTTCCCACAATTTCAAATTAGATTTGCCGCAAGTACAAATTTATACTTGACTTTTTTAGATAGTATTACTATTTGTTTCTTTAATGTAATTTTATAAAGTAATTTATTGCTGCTTTTAGAGTGAGTTTATTTTCTTTTGTAATAAAGTTCAAAAGGAAGTGGAGAATCTAGAAAATGCTCCGTCACCTGTTGGCTCTCCAGAAGGTTTGAATCTTTCTCCTGAACCCAAAGAAGAGACAAAAGTGCCAGTCACCACAGTCCAGAGTGTGGGAAATCCTATACCAACACTTTCAAATTTCTTTTCACATGGTAACATATTTCTTACCACTTATGTCAGGGGATCAGTTTTCCTCTTTCATTTTGTTTTCCTTTTCTTTCAGACTTAAGAGAGATATTGTATGTGTAGCAAATAAATAATAAATTCAGCTTTAACCCTTTGCAGCACCTGATCTAGGCAAACCTATAAAATTCCTTCTGTACACACAGAAAAAATGAATGAAAAAGAATTTATAGGTTACTCTGAACCTTCTCTATTTATACTAGATGGCAGCACAACACAAACCAGTCCATATAATTTAGCCATGTGTAGTTTTTAAAGACCCTCATTTTTCAAAGAAATTGTTTGAAAAGAAATTTCTATGTTATTTTTCTTGGCTGTATGCTAACTCTTTATTCCTGTACTAACTGCTATGCGGCCACTCTTTGTAGGGCTTTTAAATGTACCAGAAAAATGCCTAAAGGGAACACCAAACAGAATTTAAAAACTGCACAGAATTTTACTCTGCAGAACAACTTTATTTTGAAAAATCAATAAAAATGTAGTACATATAAAAAAATTACAAAACAAATAGCCCTTAATACAAATACTTATTATCATAATAAATAAATTAACCAATTTTCCGTTGCTTTCTCTCGACAAACATCCAGTATCCAAGAGAAACATTAAATTCAAAAACTGCACAGAATTATCGCCCTCATTTTTCTGAGTGGTGAAAGTGCTGATATCGGCAAAAATGGCAACAGTAATATATCAGCAACAATGGCTAAGTGCCATTGTTGCTGATATAATGAGAGAGAATTATTGATTTGATGTGATTTCATCAAAAATTAAGACACAATAACACGCCGAATAAATACTAATTCAGAAGTCAAACAACAAAAATCAGCGTTATATTTACAAAATTTTCACAGGACTAGTTTCGATGGTTTTACCGAACCATCATCTTCAGCTGCAAAACCGCAAATGAACAAGATAGGAAATAACATTTAGATAAGATAAGAAAGCCTGGACAAGAATAAGCAAGTTCATCAAAAATATTAAATTTAAAAAAAAAACTCATTCGAATTTTGAAAAAAAAAAAAAAAAAAATGCTACGAGGTGCACTGGCTCTTGCCTAGATGCATCTTTGTACCAACTTCCGTAGCCCTGGCAACTTCCGTAGCTTACGTGCAGCACAAAAGGAAAACACACAGACAAACTCTTCCTTATATATATAGAGAGAGAGATAAGTTTAAATTTTTACCTTCAAATCTTGCCTAAAATTGAACAGCAAATATCTGGTTTGCCCAGAGTGGGGTCACTGAAACACTAGGATCAGACAAACAACTTGATTTTTGTTTCACTGTAGTTCTCCAGTGAGCTCATTCAGAATAGAAAGGTGGGACCACATCTGTGTTTCATTTCCTGTTTTTTTTTTTTTTTTTTTTTTGAGGGGGTTGATTATTAACTAAGAAATTGTTGCACTTTAAATGTGTTGTTTCACCTTCCATTTGAGTCTCTTACTTTTCGCAGAGATGCCAACTCTCCCGATTTCTGACCGTACTCCGCCAACACGATTTTTAACATATTTCTCCTGACTTTCTCTTATTTTTAAAACTCCTTATGATTTTTATGTAGCTTGGCTTAATACTTCGTTATTTGGCCACCAAAATTGATTTTTGGCGTCTGAAAGCATCTGTTTTTCTCTATTATATAAAAAGAAACATATTAAAAAACCATGATGAAACAAGTCATTTCTTCACAGAGATATGGTGCATTTCTGCTTTGTGTATGAGAATCCAAAATGTGTTTCACTTCTCCAGTGAGAATAAAGCTCCGCTGTGGGTCATCTAGCATATACTAGGCAATGAGCACAAAGCAAGATCAAGTTTGTTTATTTCCTTGGTCTCACTAGTGAGCAGCATAAGTTTCACATGCTTCCAAGAAACTTATTTATATCTGTGAAAAATGTAAAATACTTGTTTACTTTTCAAAAATCATACATAGATGATTTTCCTTCTATTATTTCATCAAGGAAATGTAATATTTCACTGTGTATTATTTGTCATTGCGATTTTTCAATTTTGCTCGGGGGAAGGGCAGATGTTCGTAAACATGTGCATATTCAAGAACAGCATGAGTTGTACTGGGAAAAAAAATTACATTTTTCTATGGAAACAAAGGACCAAAAAGTTATTAGCGTAGAATGCCTGTTCTGTGACCTGACAACCTGACAGTGAATGCATTGGATCATTTATTTAGAAAAATGTTTTCCCGGCAGTGAAATTGCTAAGAAATACTCAAGTGTAAGAGCAAAAATGGCTGCAATTGTAAAACAAATGGATTCAAAAAAATTAATCTTCAGTTATTGATTGCATTAAAACGCTTCCATTCTGCCTCTCTAGGGATGGAAACAATAATACTGATGCAAAATTGTATCCAGTTGTTTCTTTTTTTTAATCCGGAATCTTCAGAAATTTAGTGTAGTTTAGTTTCTGTCCCCACTTTAGAAGAGATTCAACTGGCTTTAATATGTAGCACAACTAGTTATTAAAAACTTTTAAATAAAGGGCAATTCTTCTCAGGGTAATTGCTTAGCACTTAGTGCTGCACCACGACTTATAGGCTTAAAGACTGATGTTGCTGGCATCTTAAAAAAAGGCAATTCATATTTGCAAATTATGAAATGCACCTGTCACCTCCTAAATTTAGCAGTGAAAAAGAGTCGGCTTCTTTGCCAATAAGTGTGATTGAACACATTGTTTATGTTTATTAACAAGTCCAACAGCTGCATAATACTGAAATACATATGTACACACTGGTTGTCTTTAGAGAAGTGTTTAGCTACATGGTTGTTCAATAAGTTCGCGGAACGGAAATGAAGAAACCAATTTTTATTCGTAAAAATGACTTTATTTTTCAACGTAGTTTTTCTCAACTTCAATACACTTATTCCATTCTAATTTATGGATCCCTTGACTGTGGTGGTTTTTCGGCAGCTCTGCAAAATATCCCTCCACAGCAGTTATTACCTCTTCGTTTGAAGAAAATCGTTTTCCACGGAGATATTGTTTGAAGTGTGGGAAGAGCCAGAAGTCGGAGGGAGCTAAATCTGGCAAATAGGCTGGATGTTGCAACAATTCGTACTTCAATTCAGTTATTTTAGCAATGGTTTTTTGAGCTGTGTGCACAGGTGCGTTATCTTGGTGGAAAATGATTTTCTTCTTCTGTAATCCGGGTCTTCTTTCACGAATTTTTATCTTTAATTGATTCAGAAAGTTACAATAATTATCTAAATTAATTGTTTTACCAGTTTGAAGGTAATCTCTAAACAAAATTCCTTTCACATCCCAAAAAACTGATGCTAACACCTTCTTGGCTGATTTTTGCACACGAACTCGCTTTGGCGCCGAAGAGCTGTGTTCACACCACTCCTTAGCCTCCTGTTTTAATTCAGGATCGTGATGATAGACCCAAGTCTCATCCATTGTGATAAATCGACGGATAAAGTCGCTTTTATTCTTCTTAAAACGCTCCAAATGTTGCTGGCAAAGTCGCATCCGAATGTGTTTTTGCTCCATCGTTAGAGAATGTGGCACCCATTTTGCACAGAGTTTTTTTAAACCCAAATTAACACTCAAAATAGTGCTCACTGTGCCCAATGAAATGCCTAAAGCCTCTATTAAATTTCTTTCAGTCAATCGACGGTCTTCCAATACCATATCTTATATTTTTCCGATGATTTTCGGTGTTGATGCGGTTTTTGGACGTCCCTCTCGCGGATCGTCTTCAAGGCTGGTACGACCACTTTTGAATAAACTAGCCCACATGTAAACCATTGTTTTTGAAGGAGCAGATTCACCCAACACATTCACCATTTCAGTATGAATTTCCATTGCCTTTAAACCTTTCTTTACAAAGAATTTGATAACTGCACATTGCTCAGTTTTATCCATACCTGAAAAACGGCGCAACACGTTAGATATAAAGGGCGGTTTAACAATGAATAAATTAACAGATCGAAATGAAACTTTTGACGTGTTCCTAAGAAAGAACAAATATGAAAATGGCGTCGAAGTTTTCGGTCTAATATTGACGAATAGATGCCGTTCCCCGAACTTATTGAACAACCTTGTAGAATTCTCGACCAGTGGAACCCATTTCTTACATTTTTTTATGGAAGAAGTGCATGCTTCTAAAGATAAAAAGCTGTGTTGAAAGTTATAAAATACCTTAAGTAAATGGAGATGTAGTTATTACTTCTGTTGTTAAAAATAGGTGTGAGAAAAATTAAATAACTTCTGCACCTGCGAGCAATTTAATTGGCAATTGTCAAAATAATATTACAAAATATAAGCGTAAAGCATTCCCAAAATAATAATAGTAATAAAAATTGCTTGTCAAGGTACACATTTTCCAGTTATTGCAAGTTTATCTTATTAAGAACAAACATTTATGTTTTTGTCTTCGGATCTTAACAAAGCTTTTTTATATGCTTTATTTTACCGCCATTGGATGTTAGCATCTAAGGGCTCCAGATCTGCCAATGTGAATATCCCCCAAAGCATAACATCACCGCTACCAGCTTGTGTATGACCTGCTGTACAGTAGGGAGCAGCTGTTCACCTGGGAGAAGGTGCACTTTGACATCATGACCATCAATATGATGAATGAGAAATTGTGATTCTTCCAACCAGGCAACTGTCTTTCCCGGGCCCACTGTAGGCATAGTAGACAATGATGCTTGGTCAATAGAACTGCATGAGTGGGACGTTTGCTGCACAGTACCTTATCCAACAGTGTCCACTGAACTGTGTGTTCCAAAACACTTGCTCTTGGACCTACATAGTATTGGACTGTCAGCTAACCCACTGTCTGGTGCTGATTTTGCTGAACCAAGTGGGACTGTCTCTAATCTCCTTTTTCTTTGCTGACGCATGGCATCAAACACCTTGATGTCTAGTGCTGATTTCACTGTCAATCACATATTTTGCATAAATACTAACAACGACAGATTGTAAATAACCTACCAGTCAAGCAGTTTTGGAGA